AATGTTATTGAAACTTGCAAATTAATACATTATTTATTGTTAATTTATCATGAGTATTTGTTAATTATAAAGCTCTAGCTTGGAGGAAACCTCGCCATGTATATGAAAGTGAATACCTTCCCCCAAATAATTCTTTATGTTTTAATAAGAATGTATTGGAAGCAATCTCATCAATAATGGATGATCCAATTACTGGTCTTCTGGATTAAGGCATTCTTTTATCGCAAGATTTTAATGCTAGAATGGGAAGTTCAAACATTGCCAATGAAATCTCAGACTAATTAAATGATTATAACCTAAGGGGAAGGGCATCCAAGACTCCACTATTAATCTTCCCAAGAATAGCCTCTATATGTGATGAACAGATGGATATATATACCTTATTTCAGAAGAAAAAGCTGTAAGGGGTTGTTTGGGGAAAAAAAGTCAGTTTAACTTTTGAATAAGAAAGGAAGGATGGTATTTATTTATAGAGCCCTTTTCAGCTTCTTGCAGAAGGAATAGTTGTATTTTAAAATGCAGTGGCAGATTGAGCCAAACAAATTGTGCTAGACCTTCACTTACTCAAATGTTTAGAGTTGATACAAAAGCACCAGTGACAATAATCATCACTAGTGCTTTATGAGTCCCTATTACATGCCAAACACTCTTCCATCCTCGTCTTATCCAAATTTTACAGATTAGGAAGCCGAAGCACAGGGAGGTTAATAACTCAAGAAATAAGTGGCAGAGTGGGAGGGTGTTAGATGTCCCACAGTCTCTCCACTTCACTGTTAATCACTAGACCATTCACTATTCACCATTCACTATTAGTCACTACTCTCTAGACCGTTTTATTCTCTATTATTCTAATCACCTACCTTGCAGGGAACCAACAGCAGTTCTCAGCTATAGGGCAGAGGCATGAACCCAAGACTGGGTCAGACAAACTGAGGTCCGCATCCAAACAATCCTCCGGGAAGGACTTTTTGTTTTATAGTATGTTGAAATGGAACTTTCTACCTAGAAAGGCTGGGGCAGTGGTTTCTCAGTGTTTTGACTCTGTTTTATAGAGGTCCCTCCCCACCTTGACAGTAGCTCCGTACTGCCCTTTCTCCCCACTTGTTTCATGCACATGGGAGAAATGGTGGCAGGATCCTTTAAGTCTTTAAACTTGAGTGTTCAGTTTCTTCATAACACTGTATTTTTCTGGATGGTGGGGAGCAGTGGATGTGTCTGAGGGTTGGTGGAGCCAGAAAACACGGCCCTGGAATTTCCCTCGACTCTGTATGGGGAAGGCTTCCAGGACCACGTCAAGCCAATCCTTCATTTGGGAACAGGTGAATCCTCAAAAATGCTGTAGCATCTTTTAAAACAATTATTTCTGTGATGTTTCTTTATGAGACTTTTACTTTAAGGAAAGATTTGGCACGTGGAACGTTAAGAATATTTTCATTATACCATTTTGAGGATAACTTTTATCATGCAAGATCCCTCTTTTAGTACCTTTGGTAAACGTATCATTTGTTTCAAGAAATTTGTGAATGACAGGAAGATAAGTTTATCTGGATCTTAGAGAACATGGTCACTGAACATAGAAGTCATAAATTTAAAAAATAAAGTCGTGCTAGTAAAGTTTGTGAAAAGATTTATTTCTTGGCATTTGCAACTAACCTAAACTGGCCTGGAAACTATTGAAAAATCTTATTCAGATTAGTTCTGTAGATACTCCAAATGGGACAAGTAAGTGCTCGAATTTGGACACAGACCACCTTGTGACTGATAACACGTGGTATTCAAAGATTGCTCTCTCAGATAATTGCTTAAAATCAGCCACAGTCAATATCACATCAGCTACAGGTGAAAATGTGAGGAGTCATCACTCTTGGGGATGACTTCAGTAGGACAGAGCTTTATATTATCCCTTCAAAGAGACCTCTATTGTAGTGGGAGCCTAGAAAACAACATGATTTGTATAAATGGTTAGGCTAAAATAGTTAATCTTCCCATTCTGAAAGCTACAGAATTTCCAACGCAATGGCAACCTAAGCTGGAACTGGTGAGGGTAGGGGTAGGGAAGGGGGACTGACTGTGACAATTTATTGTGCCCACTTAGGATCTTTGTGTGGTACAACGCTTTATTCCAAGTGTTTTGTTGACATTTAGTGCTGATGCCATCAGTTGACATAATAGTCCCTCGGAACCAGTAACCTGGACCTTCCCTCAGAAGCCTTGGACATGTAAAGGAAACGTGAACTCTAGTCAAGGTCCTTTTCACGTGGAGATTCAATTCAGTCAGTTCAGTGCACCTGTAAGTCCTGGTAAGGACTTTCCTGATTTCAGATTCTCCTCTCTAACATCAGTCTTTTTTTTTTTTTCTACCACTATATCCTGTTCACTCCCTAGAAATAAATAAGAAAGTTGTTTTCAAGCCTGAAAATCCCTGAGTCCACATTTGTAACCAAGACTCAATGGCCTTTCTGCTTTTAGTTTTACTATGTACTGCATCCAGTAGAGCTAGGTTATAATTTTGGCCAACATTAGTTGACATTTCTAATTTGTGACTTCTATTTATGTAAAGTGAATTACTTGCTGGCTCTATTAATCCTGCAAAGCCCATGAACCCTTAATGTTCAGTTTGCTTTGAATGAGTAACAGTGTATTTGTTCCTTCTCAAATATGACTTCTCGCTGAGCTTTAGATGAGCTCCTTGTACATAACATGCCTTATGTCTTGGATGATTTATTCACTTTCATGTTCCCCAGAATTTATTGCTAAAGGTTGATGTGAATACTTACAGTTTGGGCTCTCATATAATCTCCTGAATGGCAATTAATAAATAAAAGATGGTTACTATTGTTGACAGAGGAACTAGGCTTTTCTCAGATAGTTTTCATCTTCATATTTTCACCAAACTTCATGTCAGATCCCTAGGGAGTGATGGTATAAAATATCTTCTGTAAACTCCAAAGCTTTTACTGTTGCTTTAATACCCCGAGCCTCTATGTTGCTTTTTGTTTTCTTGTCAGAAATGATCTTATTCAATTTCTGTTTCTTCCACTTGCCTTCCTTCCTGGGACTATAAGAAATATGCCTCTTTCTGGATTTAGTAATGATGTATTCTTACTATTTATGATTTGCAAGTAGCACCTGAAATTTGTCCCTGAAATTTCTTATAATTTGTCTTTGCTTAGTCCCATCTCTGTTGCATTTATTAGTGATGCACTGTTGCCTAGAAAATGTAATGTTTATTGTCATCATGTATATTGTTCAAAGAGCAAAATTGCCTCCTGTAAGTTAATGATGAAACTGTAAAACAACATCCAGTTTTTGCATTTTGTCCGCTTGATTAGGCTCAGGGTCTTATTTTAGAGATGAGGAAACTAGAGGCCATTTTAAGTAGCTTGACCATAGTCAAGTAGAGGGTGGAGGTCAAGTACAACTTTAGACAGTACAGAGCAGAAAAGGCGGAATTAGTTAGGCTGCCTGAGGACAGTTCCCAGCTCTGAAGCTTATTAAGTGTGTATCTTTAGACTAGGTATTTATCTGCTCAGTGCCTCAGTTTCCTCATTTGTAAAATGGGAACAATTTTGGCAGTAGCACAACTGTAAGGATTATGGTAAGTTAGGTAAAGCACTTAGAACAGGGCTAAGCACTCTCTGCATTATTAGTTATTAGCATTATTGTCATTATTTTGACTATTTTTAACATATTCACAATATATGGGAAGGCGTGTTTTGTTGTTTTGTTTTTTTAACTTTGTGCGTGTCTATATAGTCATTATACCTTTGTTGTACTTCTTTTGTATCCCTTGTATTACCCAGTGATAATGTTCATGATGGCAGCATTAGTAGAAGCAAAAATACTGATCACAGTAAGAAAAGATAGGGCTGTTTACTGAGCCGTACTGTATGCTAGGCATTGAAGTACGTACTGTATGTACACAATCCTTAATATGTACTCAATCTGTATCTACTAACAAACTGCAAAGTAGTTTATTTCCAGAAATGCACATATAACCCCTTCATGACAGTAATCTTTGTAACTGGACAGGATCATGAGCTTTGGCCCTGGTGGAAAAGAGCCCTGCTAGAATTCCCTCCATCTTTAAAATAATCCTTGTGCTGCTGGTATTTATATAGCCTAATCTTGTTACAGACAACTAGGGGCCTGGCTGTGGGTGGGAATGGGGGTCAAGGCATGGGTGAAAAGGCGCAGGTGACAGGGCCAGACAAACAGTCCAAATGAAAAATATTACATATCAGAACACACATTATTCAACTTCACCTAGTTTTTCTTTTGGAATAGTATATCATACGAAGAAAACTACCTCTTTCCTAGATACCCAAATAGAAATACATTTGGAACAGTAAAGCACTGACACAGAAAAGTTGTTTTCTTTCTTGCTTTGCTTTGTCAACTAAAAAAATTGCATTCACCATACAGTAAGAGTGCTAGAGTATGGTAAAGTGTTTAACCATAAAAATTACAATCACTTCAATGCTCTTTGATTTCTGTGCATAATACATTACTTAATAATTATAGAATCAATGTTGGAGATAATAAAAGCTACAGTGTAGGGGAGTGCTTGGAATGAGAACTGTGAGAGAAACGCTGTTAGGTGCTCTGTATGTGTGTGCAACTGGCTGTGTGTGCATATACACACGCTCATACATACAATCTCTGCAGACTGCTATAGCCTTTCAAAGTCATGTATATGTCTGTGCACATGTGTATATATATATATATATATATATATATATATACACATGCATATTTATTTCTATATATGACATATCATTTTAAATCTTCCCACAACTTTATAGAAAAGGAAACTAAGGCTCAGAGAAGTCAAAGTACTTGCTCAAAGTCACAAAAAGTGGCAACGCTGGGGTTTAACACCAAGTCCCACCCATTTAACCCCCCTCCTCCCTTTTTGAGATAGAACAACAACTAGCCTTCCCACTCCACCCCACTGCCTCATTAGGGGAAGGGTGACCTTTTGCCCTTTTTTCTTCCAGACTCTCCAAGCAAAGATTTCGGTCCAACTCTGGGTTTGAAAAAGTCCAGCTCCTTGGAGAGCCTGCAGACTGCAGTTGCCGAGGTCAGGAAGAACGAACTTCCCTTCCACCGGCCCCGGCCGCACGTGGTCCGTGGCCGAGGCTGCAACGAGAGCTTCCGAGCAGCCATTGACAAATCTTACGATGGACCCGAAGAATTAGAAGCTGGTAGGGCAACGAGCTTGCTGAAATGGTTTCTTCCTCTCCTTATTATCTGCGAATCGTAGGCAAGAATGGGTGCTTAACTACAGAGAAAAGTGATTTAAGGTCACAATTATATTTTTGATATTAAAAGTAATTCATTTCCCTGATATGTTTTGCCCTTTGGCTTAACGAACATGGAACTGGATAACGCAACATGTGATTTATTTTACAGTGCAACCGCCAAAGAAATGTTCTTCAATTTCCTACAAGGACCAACTGTCATTTACCCTTAGGGTAGGAGTACTAAGTATGCGTCTCTTGACATTATTATTCAAGTCATTAGATGCAGCCTCAACCCGAGGACTGACTGCTTTAATTGGGTGGAAGCAGTCGGTTATAGCTGAACTCAAAAACTTCTCCTGGAAATAAACTCACCCTGTTTGTTTCCCAGCACGTGGGCGTTCTGAGCTGATCAAGGTTAACAAGCTGCTTTGAGAGAGATCAGTGTTTCATCACATATCAGACCTTTTATACTACTGGCTAAGCAACCAAGTCCCCCACTCCCAGCAGCAAACCTTGCTTGAAGTAACCAGATTTAGGCAGTTGTCTCTTCAAAGGGTACGCGTAGCCTCGTGGCAGGGTAGAACTCCGGAGTGCCTTTATTCATTATTCTGTATTTTACATTTTAACTTTTCTTGAGATACTAACAGTAAGTGCCCCTGACCATGTGTATTGATTTTTTTTTTTTTCTCTGTACAGATGGTCTGTCTGATAAGAGCTCTCACTCTGGCCAAGGAGCTCTGAATTATGAATCTGCCCCTCAGGGGAACTCTGAGCTAGAGAATGCAGAAAATAAAGCCAGGAAAGTCAAAAAACCGAAAGAAAAGGAAAAGAAGAAGGAAAAGGGCAAATTCAAAGTCAAGGTGAAAAAGCAGAAAGAGGGAAATGAAGATCCAGAAAGGAAAATAAAGAGGAAGGGATTTGGTGCCATGCTGAGGTAGGGACCTGCTTTGAAGGCAAAGTTGGGATGGTTTTGTTTTATTTTGTTCTGTTTCTGCTGATGAAATCACTCATTTGTGTGCATTCAAAAAAAAAAAAAAAAAAATGCAAGCTTTCCCTCCTCTTCAGCTAGATGCCTAAAAATCTTTGTTTTTAATCGAAGTATAGTTGATTTACAATGTTGTGTTAATTTCTGCTGTGCAGCAAAGTGATCCATTATGGTTTATCACAGGATATTGAATATAGTTCGCTGTGCTACACAGTAGGACCTTGTTATTTATACATTTTATATATAATAGTTTGCATCCACTAATCCCAAACTCGCAATCCCTCCCTCCCCCACTCCCCCCCCACCCCACTGGCAGTCACAGGTCTGTTCTCTATGTCTGTGAGTCTGGTTCTGTTCCATAGATAAGTTCACTTGTGTCATATTTTAGATTCCACATATAAGTGACATCATATGGTATTTGTCTTTCTCTTTCTGACTTACTTCACTTAGTATGATAATCTCTAGTTGCATCCATGTTGCTGCAAATGGCATTATTTTGTTCCCTTTTATTACTGAGTAGTATTCCGTCGTATATATGTACCACATCTTCTTTATCCATTCATCTGTCGAGGGACATGTACGTTGTTTTCATGTCTTGGCGATTGTGAATAGTGCTACTCTGAGCATTGGGATGCATGTATCTTTTTGAATTAGAGTTTTGTCTGGATATATGCCCGGGAGTGGGATTTCTGGGTCATATGTAGGTGCCTAAAAATCTTAACTGCTGACTGTGCTTGATCCTTTCCTGCAGAGGCAGGAGGAGCCTCTTGGTTGGCTCCTGATCCTCATGGTGATGACGGGAAGCTGTCATAAATGTATGTCAAAGAAAAGCCAACACTTGGTAGAGGAGGCATGGGCAACGCCTATAGCCCTAGGTACCAAAGCATTATGTGGATAAAGAAAATGCTTCTTCCAGCAACATAGGGAAAGCAAGAGGTGAGGGAGTCCTCAACTGTGACCTCTAGAATGCCGCCTTTGAATTAGAGAAGACAGGTTAGATGAACCACAACCCCACTCCCACCCCACCCCCCATGATTCTAGGTGTACCCATGGCCAGGTCTGTGGGCACATTAGTCGTCAGAGGCAGTGAGGTGCAGTGGAGATGTCATCGCATCTGGAGTCAGAGGGCCTTGATCTGAACCCATGACCCTCATACACAAGCTGCTGGGCATCGCACATGTTACTTAACTTCCCTGAGCCTTGCTTTCCTCACTTTCAAAAGGAGGCTAGTATACTGCCGTCTAACTCAGTGGGATTGAGAGACAAGATGTCATAGGCCGTCGGTCCATTGACTAGGCATAGCTCAGCAGGGTGCAATCAGAAAACAACTTTCTTTCTTCTCCTACAGCTACCTTCAAATACACCCTGTTGGTGTTGTCAGAATGTCCACGATTTGATGACATCTCAGTTTTCTGGCTGATGGCTTTCTGGTCACTTCTGGATGTTAAAACACCCTCTTTGTCAGGGGCTAACATGCACCATCTGATGTTAATCAGCTCTTTCTTCTTCCCGGCCCCTCAGGGCTCAACCCTAGCGAGGGCCCTACAGTGTGCAGGATCCCACATTCTTCTGGTTCTCCGTCTCTGGGACGAAGGGAAGGGAAGGACTTTATTAAAACAAAGGCCTTGATCTGTATTAAAACATAGGCCTGTATCTGGTGTAATCTGGCAGTTGGGGCTCTTTGTGGGCCACTTCTGTGGATTTTTCAGGGGGCTCCTTACTGCACCAATCACTGGTATAGAGATTTATTTTTCTGTTGACTTCCTAAGACCCTTTGACCTCAGGGAGCACAACTCTGGAGCCTCCTTACCCAGCTGGTAGACTTCTTTGATGATGTCAGCTTAAGGTGGCTTTCGTCCAACTTCCTTCTAGAGCATCTGCTTGACTCACTAGAATTACCAAACTCTTGCCCCTCCAAATGATAGAAGTGCAGCCTGTTCCCACTGTTCCCATTTCTCCTCACCAGCCGTAGAGATCCCCCAACCAGCCTGGCATCTCCAGATCACCAAGCAAACAGGTACGACATGGGGTGTCAGTCTCCTTTTATACAGTTACCTCCAAATTTTCTGAGGGGTTTTCTCATTGGCCCCTCACTTATTTTGTTGGGAGTGAGATGAGGAAGCACCTCTTTCCATTACTTCCTTGACTCCTATAATTTCCCAGCAAAGAAAATCCACTTCTCAATCTCTACCCTTCTGTTCCATGGACTGAAGGTGAGTGATGGGAGGTGATAGTTGATGGGCCAGTTTAGCACCTCTTATTAAACCGTTAGGAGATGTCTTTCTTAAGAATGCTTTGTGGTATTTGTCATCACATGTTCTCAGTTTGGGATATTCCACTGAAATTTTAGACAAATGGAAAGTTCTATTCCATATCTGTTATTCATATATATATTCTCTCTCTCTCTCTCTCTCTCTCTCTCTCTCTCTCTCTCTCTCTCTCTCTCTCTCTCCATGTTTGTGTGTGTGTGTGTGTGTGTGTGTGTGTGTGTGTGTACATACATATGACCTTGAAACTACAAAGTGACATTTAGGGACACAAATAACGTCAACACCAGTGGACTTATCTCTCAAAAAAACGGTGTTTTTCCTGGTGGTCTCTTTAGATTCTGTATTTCCATTTGCCATTTAAAAGTTTAAACTTGTCCTTATTCTGGGTAACTATTATGACTGCTATTAGATAATCATCCTTGATAATAATGATAACGTGCAACTGCAGTATATTTAGATGAGAGTCACCTTTGCAGTCATGGAGTTCAGAGGTTAAAATTGCAGACTCTGTATGTGTAACTCTGATGCCAATCCTGGTTTCTCTGCTTTCTCTCTAGGTAACATTGGGCAAGTTACTGTAATATTTCATCTCTTTCTGTGTCATCTGAAAAATGGGAATAACAATAGAATCTACTATTATTATGAGAATTATAGTTGCTTAATTACAAGTAACTTGCTTAGAACAGTGCCTGGCAAGTAACAAACATTCAGTAAATGTAAATTATTGCAGTAAGTAGAATAATGGCCTCCCTAAAAATGTTCATGTCCCACTCTGCAGTACCTGTGAGTGTGTTATATTGCACATGGCTAAGGAGAGTTGAGGTTGCAGGTGGAATTCAGGTTGCTCTTCAGCTGGCCTTTAAGATAAGGTGATTATCCCGAATTTGCCCCTGTGGGCCCAAGGTAATAACAAGGGGCCTTAAAAGTGGAAGAAGACGTGACTATGGAAGAAAGGGACAGAGAAATACAATGTGACTGGAGGGACTGTAAGCCAAGGACTGTGGGCAGCTTCTAGAAGGTGGAAAGCAGAGAAATGCATTCTTTCTGGAGAGCTTCCAGAAGGGAGCACAGCCTGCCAACCCCTAATTTCAGCCCATTTCTGTTGTCTAAGCCACTAAAGTGTGTAGCAAATTTTGCATCATCAGTAGAAAACCGTATAGCTGTTATCATAATTATTAATACTTCTAAAATATCAGGGTAATTTGTAAGGTAAAAAACCCTCTTTAAGGTGTTAAAGAAGAAAGCTATACGCATTTGACTAGTCTGTAAATATAAAAACTATTAGAGCTTCACATAGCCCATTTTCTAGAATATTATTAAAGTAAGCCTGAACTTTGTATCTGATTTCAGTTGATGGGATTTGGCAGGTTCATTCTCCACTGCCCAGAATACAGAGCTGGCTCTTCCTGTTGTCATCCAGTATTTGCTGTGTTTTCCTTTGGTAGAAATCACAGGTCCTAGATCTTTGAGACATCTAGCAATTTGTATTTTGTTTCCTTGTACTATTTAAGCAAAATTAAGATCCGAAAGGTGGTGTTGGATTTTATCTCCGGTGTAAAAATAGCAACTGTTTTCCATAGACTTTTGCATCTGAGTTTGTGAGCGTATTGGAGATGCTGCTACATGCACATTTTCAGCAACAAAGAACACAATAGCTGTTACCATTAGCTAACAGATTTTGCTTTCACTCTCATCTGTTGCTCACTCAGACGCTATTGACTTAGCTTCTTGTTTAAAAAAGATTGATTGCTCTAAGCATCTCGAGGAGTTGGATGTGGCTTTGCTCTTGCTTGTGGGAAGCTAAGTGTTGTGTGCTTTTCTGATATTCACTGGCCGCTTTTGTGTTGATGACATGTAGTAGCACAGTTTAGCTCAGTTAATTTAACCTACTTCCTATCGTTTTGAAAAACTGATGGGGGGGGGGGATCTCATTAGTTCCTATCTTTACATTTGTTGTCTGATTCCAGTATGCATATGTTTTGTTGATTGCAGAATTACCTCTTGGCAGATTCAACTATGGCTCTGACACAGGCCGTGAATTATTGTATATTGAAATTGTTGAATTATTGTATATTGAAAAATACACAGCTTAAGAACCTACCAACTTTGGTAGTTTCCCTGTATGCTGTTTTACCTGCTGTTGAAAGAGGAGTTTAGAGGATCAAGATGCTTACATTTTTCCATTATGTGTTTCCTGTACTCTTCATGACACTACCCTGTAGAAAAGACCACCGGTGGCTTCTTGCAGCCAAAGGGTGAAGTTCAAACCCCTCCAAAAACAGCCCCATGGCTGTCAGCCCTACTCTGCCTTCCTGGGGTCTAGTAAATGTTTTCTAAGCACTGAAGAAAAATATCTTTTGGCTAAGAAAATCTTGCCCTGTCTAGAGTGGGAAATTCAAAAGTCAGTTCTTGATTTATCAATTATTTAATAAACTTGTCAATCCTTATATTCTTTAAGCTGAATTCTGTCACAGGTTTGTGTTTAAAATCCATTCCTTTACATCATAGCAGCTATTGTCTCCTCTTGATATTATAGACCACTCACTTTGAAAACCTCCGGCCTATCAACTTGTTCTGGACCCTAAATGGAAAGGCTTGATGTCGATCAAGTATCTTTCTCTATACCCTTGGTCTGCCCAGGAAACTCCTTTTTTCATGGATTAACAAAGAGCAAAGAGT